GGATTTTATGACATGTGGAATCTGATGGTGCTACGTTTTTTGGCGGGGAGCCCCCTTAAGACAATTTTTCGTGGGCCCCCTTGTCTTTGGAGCCAAAAAAATTTGGTCTCATATTTAAATTTCTTAAAAATTATCAGTCCACTAGAAAGCCATTAAATTTAGAAACTTTTTGTCTCTTTATACTTTTTTCGTAAAACGCAATGTTTTCGTGAAAAATGTCAAAATGTGATCGAATGCATATCGTGATTCGCCATTTTCCACAAAAACATTGCGTTTTACAAAAAAAAATATCAAGAGACAAAAAAGTTTCTAAATTCAATGGCTTTCTAGCTAACTAATAATTAAAAAAAAAATCAAATTTGCGACTAAATTTGTCTGGTTCCAACAACAAGGGGGCCCATAAAAAGTGTCTTAAGGGGGTTTCTCGACAAAAAGCGTAGTACTGTGAGATTCCACATGTCATAAAACCCCTGTGTACCAAATTTAGTGATTCTCGTACAACATGGTTCTGAGATATAAAAAGGACTTCTTAGGGGCAGATGTCAAGGGGCTGTAACTCCGAAAGAGGGGGCCAGTTGGCAAAAAGAAAAAAGACGGGTCCCCTAAATTTGTCTTAAGAATCTACGAGCAAATTTTGTTGCATGAATTTCGAGACACCCTGTATTTAAAAAATATATTTTGAATTTGTTTGAATTAACTTAATAAATCGGATAAAATGCGAGAACTAATAATAAAATATGTTATTAAAATAACTTTTTCTATAGAATTATGTACTTATTATTAATAATATTTTGAAAAATACAAAATTAAAATGTTTTGGTATTTGGTATCATTTATTTTGTAGAAAAGCTACATGCAAAACATGATATTATTTTCTCATTTTTAGGTGGTTTTAATGTACGAGAAGGCATTCCTGGAGGAAGGATTGTAGGAGGCGTTACTACGACTATAGAGAAACATCCATGGCAGGTATCCCTGCAGGTATTTGGAAATCATATTTGCGGAGGTTCAATTATTAGTTCTGGCCTCATATTAACAGCCGCTCATTGCGTTACCGAGTGAGTTGCCACCGAATAGTTTCAAATAATTAACAATTACTTTAATAACATTTCCGAATCAGTAAAAAATATACGTCGTGGTGTAGAACTGAAGAATTTTAGTTTTTACGTCAAAAATTCTTCTTTCAGACTGATAGTTACCGTGTATTACGTTGTACCGGGAGTAACAGATTTAAGACAGGCTGAACAAAAATATCAAGTCGAAGAAGCCATAATGCACGATGACTATGACAGCGTTACTTACGATTACGACATCGCCTTACTAAAGGTAAATACATAAACATTCACAATTTGTATATGTATTGGATCAAACAATTTTATTGATAATAATTTTAGTTATTTTCTTCAGCTTCAAGAAAATTTGACGTTTTCGAACACAATTCAGGCCATAAGCCTTCCGAATGAGCTTTTTACCATTCCAGATGGGACTAGTTTGGTAGCAAGTGGTTGGGGAATAACAGAGGTGAGACTGTTTTTGAAAATATGTACACTCGACGCAAGATAAAGGTTTCCAACCTAAAAGGCATCCTACTATTAAAGGGGCGAGCCGGTGGACTATTAATGGGAATTTTGGGAGGCATCAATAATTAGGGGCGTGTCATATTTTATTTTGTGTAGGCACGTGTGTAACGACACACAACAAAAAATTGCAGGCCTGAAGTATATGTATTATAAAAAGAGAAGAGTATACAGGTTTTGAAATTATTTTGTCTTGCCACATTATTTTTCCTGTCCCTGAGAAAATTGTGTATTTTGAAATAAGAATTTGTGTCATATTCTGAAGGAAGTAGGTAGGTCATGAAGGCAACAAAAAAAAATATTGTAAACTACAGTTTTATTATAACTTATACAGTTTCGTGAGGAAAGGGAAATATTTTAAGGATGTGTTCTGGAAGTGAAAATAAGTAAATAAGTTCATGACATTATGGGTCCGGAAATGTTTCTTTTCTTAGATAGATGTCGAAGGAAATATAAAATCCGGTGTTTTCTAAATATCTCGAAAACGATTTAAGATATTACGCTGCCACTGTACTATACATCAAAGCTCATTGTAATATCTTAAATCGTTTTCGAAATATTTAGAAAATCGGGATTTTTTTAAATTTTACATCTATCAGAAATGAAGCATTTCCGGGCCCATAATGAACATATGAACTTATTTACTTATTTTGACATCATTTTATAAACAATGAAAAAACAAAACAGTCTAATAATATGTCCAACCATCATCCGAATCAATAACGGCTTGTAATCTGTTTGGCATAGATGTAGCAAGGCGTCGTATACTATAATTCACGTCTATAGCGTTCCAAATATTTTGTATACGTTCCCAGAGCGTATCTCTATTTGGTGGAATATCGTCATATTGTTCATTTAACTGACGCATTACATAAGCCCATAAATGTTTTTTTTTTTATAAGAAGTAATTTCCACTTTGTTTCATTCCAAAATATTGATTAGAACCCGAGTTATCACGGAAATATTATTTTTGGGGGTTAACATGACGGTTAGTTTGCATCCGTTTAAATCCGTTTTAGACTAAAAGAAAAAATATTAGTAATTATTAATAACGAGCGATCAAATAAAAACGTGGTCGAAGTTGGCTCTGACACATTGGACCTAGGGAGTAGCTTATAGCGACCAACTTAACCTCATTTCTCAACGAGCTGTATAGCAGCTGTCAGTTTCAATAACGTTAATGACTATATAACTTTATTTTAAAGAATAATCGTGATAACAATAACAAACAATTAAAGGAGCTGCGGAAAGTGTCCCCCTCCTTGTTATAACAATAAATTAAAGCAGCTGCTGAAAGTGTCCCCCTCCTTGTTCCAAGCACTTTTCACACCTGTTCCTCAAAGAATTAAAGACATTTTCTAAGATGCTCGGGGTATTGTTAATTTCACGAATCTTGTCTATAAGTCGAGCCTGCAGATGGTTTAAATCAGGAATAGGCAGTTCAAAAATAGTGTTTTTAAGGTAAGGCCACAAAAAGAAATCACACGGCGTAATATCACATGACCTCGGTGGAAATTCATGTTCAGCATTGAGACTTATTAGTCGATTTTGGAAAACTTCCCTCAACATATTCATCGTCTCGCCTGCCGTATGTGCCCTTGCGCCATCTTGTTGAAAGTAAAAGTTTGTAATTTCGTTTTCTTCCAGCTGGTTAACAAAAGGAGCGATAATTTCTTCTCTATACCTTTGCGCAGTAAGAGTACCATTAAAAAAAATAGGTCCATAAATCCTCCTTCGATTGAGAGCACACCAAACTCCAATTTTTTGAGCGTGTAGAGGGCCCTCGACAAAAAAGTTATCTGGTTTTTCAGAAGACCACATTCTCATATTCTGTGAGTTTACGTAACCACTTAAATGAAACCAGGCTTCATCAGAAAAAAAGGTGATATTATGAAGTTCACCGTAGTTGTTTAAAAACCATTCACAAAATACAGCCCGTCGCGGAAAATCAACTTCATGAAGTTCTTGCTGACAAGTTAAACGATAGGAGAACAAACGCAAATCTTTTTTTAACACTGTGTGGCAGGTACCGACTGATACTCCCACCATTTGTGATAAAACACGTACAGAAGTTCTTGGCGCATTTTCCATTATTTGTTGGACATTTTCTTTTAATTCTTCAGTCCGCTTTTTAGGTCGGCCGCTTCCTTCTTTTCTTGTTACACTGCCCGTTTCACGAAAAACATTAACACAACGCTGAACTGCACTTTGAAAAATTTTGTACTCAACAACGCCGGGAAATTGATTTTGAAATTCTATGAAACATTCCTCAATAGAATACTTCCATATTCCATCAATCTTGCGTCCATTTCTAAAGTAGGACTCTATGATAAACACTTTTTGTTCTTGAGAAAACACCATTTTAAACGCTTATAGTCATTAACGTTATTGAAACTGACAGCTGCTATACAGCTCGTTGAGAAATGAGGTTAAGTTGGTCGCTATAAGCTACTCCCTACGTCCAATGTGTCAGAGTCAACTTCGACCACGTTTTTATTTGAACGCTCGTTATTTACCTTTTTGAGATTAACAATGGATATTGAGCATACAATAATTTAAAGAAACACACGTTTACTGACGCACGCGCATTGACAATAGCGAACGAAATAAGCTATCTTTGTCATAAGCATACGAGTTGTCCACAACTTCGGTACCATGAGTGTGACAAAGCGAACGTGATTTTTTATCTTTGTCCTGGCAGTGTCCTAGGAGCTAAATAAAATTCAAAATATAAAAAGGTAAATAAATATGTATCTGTCTAAGAAACCAACGTAAAAAAAAATTCGAAGGCAACTTTTCATTATTTTAAATAATCGATCGAATAGTATAGAAAAAAAATTGTTGTAGTTTTGTTACATCATTAAAATTAAAGATTAAAAATTTGAAATTGTTATATTTCTTATTAAAAATTATATCTATTTCTCTGAAAAGAAAAGTTACATTTTTTAGAATAGATTGAAAAAAAAAATTACAAAATTCATTCATTTTTCTGCTGGTTACGATTTTTTTAAATTTCTGAAAACTTTCCTTAACTTCCAGCCTCTCTAACTCTGTTAATTTTAATAGTACAAGAAAAAGTCGAGGCTATTCTTATGTAGAATTGTACGCTTTATAACGTTTATAAGAAACTAAAACTGATTTCATTGCGGGCAACTATACAGTGTTCAATAATGGCGTACAGAAAAACCAGAGGCTCATTCTGTGGCTAAAATTAAGTAAATTTTTTTACACACACGTAGGCCGCCGTTTCCGAGCTGCAGGGTTTTCAAAATTAAAAAAATAATAATTTTCTTAAATCTAACTATTCGTAAGTAGGTAGTAGACAGTTCGCAAGATTTATTAACTAGGATGAATCGATTTTTCTATTGTAATGTAAATGCAACTTTTTAAATAAAAACAAGATAATAAAAAATGCGTACGGGGTCTGCTATAAGAGTTTGACGATTAGTCCCATTTTAAAAATGCCAATCTACCAGGAAAGCATTTTTGTACAAAACTCGTAAAATGTCAGATGTGACAGTAAAATATTGCCACACGAGTTTAATGGGAACGCCCCATATAGACAAGCGGTTAAGCCGTCATATTTCAAACAAAATACGATTCGGATTGGAAACCTTTATCTTGCGTCGAGTGTACCTAGTATCTTTTGATACTTATTATTTGTCCTATACTTCTAAAGAGTGCTCCAAAATTCACGCAAGAAATAATTTTATTAGACAACACAGGTTTTTAATTAAAAATTGTAAATTTTTGTATTAATTCATAAACTATATGGTATAGGGTTATGTATGGTATGGTATATCGGGTAAATGGCCTCCACTGCTTTGCTGACACATACGCAGGAAATTTCCATGACCGTTTTGCGTAAATGTGGCTGTATTATGTTGATACAGTTTAAGGTTTCCTCCTTTAAGGGGTGGTCGTGGGCTTGTTGACATAAACCTTACACTTCAAAAAAAAACCCAAAGAAAAAAGTTCCACGTCTTTTAATAGCACGATCTGGGCGGCCAATTCTGATTACCAAAATGGGAAATTACACGACTAAGAAATGGCACATGCAGTTATAACATTCACTATCTATACAGTGAAAATGTCGCCATTTTTAGCTATAACACTGCTCGTGTACAATATTTAACAGCTTCTTGAGATCTTGAGATAAAATTCAACTTTGTTATTAAACATAATTATTAGTTTTGTTTCCACCTGTGTATTGTTGTATTCTTGTAAAATCTATTCGAATTGCACTATTATCTGTGCTTATATAGTAAGTTATAACTGTACTGCATTTTATTGTTATTATTACTTTTTATTATTGTTTATATGTGAACGAGTCTAATGCACATTTGATTAGGTACTTGGCTCTCAAGTATTGAAGGTTATTTATTTGTTTCTGACACATCGACCTAAGAACTCGATCGATCCAGAGAAACATGATTAGTGGACTAGATAATAATATGTAGTTTGGACCTAGGTTATGGTCAATGATAGAACATGTTCAGTGGTGATTAAATAGAAGTTGCCCAGTCTAAAATTTATTTTGTTCAAACGACCAATCATAGGTTGAGTTTTTTGTAAGATTTAATTTAATAAAACCCCTCGTAGCTGGTAAAGCAACGAGCTTATGTGTGATATAAATCTAAACCAAAGGTTTGCCTAAATTCTATCACCTGTGAATAGTGAAATTCATAATAAAGAGAGTAAAGATTACAAATTTTGTTGAAAGATTAAAAGATTACAAATTTGTAAATATTCAATTACAAAGATTACAAAGGTTATAAAGATTTATCTGAACATCAAAGTACTCCACAAGACAACAGTGTGAGAATTATATCTGATTTTATTTTTTGCATTTTCTTTCTCTCCAATCCCTACCTACGGGGTGAGGAAACCATTATAGGGTTTAAGAAGTTTAATTTGTTAGTAGGTTGGCGCCCATTTTAAAATCATTATAACCACCTAACATGTTTTCCTCAAACTGGTGAATATATGTGAGATCAAAAAATTAGAACTAACCCACTTCCCAATGCCTCCGCTACAAGAGCTGCGGTTCGCCCTTTATAGTTTCAACTTTTAAACTATACCCTATACAGTAATTGAATTGATTATCGGTCTGTATAGCATGTAATACCGTCGTAATGAAACCACATGTCGTCTACATCCATATCTTGCAATTTGGGAAAGCAATAGGGAACAAGATTTATTGGTACCAACCGCATTCTCGAAAACGATTGGTCCGATGATGCTTCCAGCTCAAAATCCCCACCAAACAATGACATAGTGTAGATACATTTGTTTCTCAACAATCATTCGTGAATTTTCTGAACTCTAAATGCGGCAATTTTGTCGATTAACGAAGCCATCAACATGAAAATGAGCCTTATCGCTGAAGATAAAAATCCGCATCCACTTGTTCTATAATCCATCCAACAAACTCGATATGAAGATGCACTAATTGTACTAGTCTCCCGGAATGTCTCAATTCATCTCTTCACAGTTGATGAATTTAAATCACGATTCCGACCATTTTCTGTACGAAAATTGCGAAGTATAGCTGGCAAACCATCATTATTTTTAAAATGGTGCTCAACAAATAAAAAAGGAGGGTTTCGTGTAGCTTTCCATTTTTGAATTGTCAGCTGATCTTTTTTTTTCGTTGGCACAAATTCAAATCTTGCGTGAATTTTGAGACACCTGATATTACTTACTTAAAGCACATATCTAACCCATATGCGACACTCCTTTGATAAGGTACACATGCCGCCGTTGACCTTGTCCATTTAAACTGGATGCTAAACGTTGCCAAATTAGGCAATATCTGATCTGATATCTGAAGAAAGTGTTGTCAGTTCGAAATATTGAATGAACATGGATATAAATTGCTTACACCTACATTTATCACAATTCTCACTTAATTAATAAAGTGTCTGTCTAAACAGGATGATAAATTAGATAACTAATGTATTAAAATAAAATTGCTAAGTGTTTATTATTTTTTTTGTTGAAATAAAATACCTAATAACAAATTACACATATTTAATTTTACATTTTTTATGTTAGAGTTTTACTAAAATTTTGATTAATAGATTTTATGTAGTAGTAAATTCGCAGAATTACAAGTTACTTTATTAAATAGCCCAAAGGAAAATTTGGACAGAGATGTTGAACTGGAGGTACATCTTTACAAAAATTATAAATGGTGTTTCCTGGGTAGTTACAAATACAATTATCAATCAAATTTGTTATTTAACCATGATACAACCATACAGAGATATGACATTGCGCATGCACGGCGCCATCTTGGCTTCCTTGCTGACGTCATGTGGTAAGTCAAAAAGTAAACAAACGGATCGTGGCCATATTCTTATAGTGTTTTCCAAGTTTTTTTATTGTTCCTGCCTGTATTTCTAATTTAGTTCGTTGTGTGAGCGAATTATAATGCGGTGTGCAGTGTGCAGTTGCAATAGTGATGATCAAACTAAACATGTTTTTTAGGTTGCGACACTTAAATAAGGAGTTAACTGATGCTTAATTGAGCAGAAAAAGGAAATTAAAGAAAATTGTTAAATTGAAGTACCATCACCGCCTATCACACAAACTGGTGCGCTTGGGTACTGTATTGTTAATTTTTACGAAAGCCTACCCCATGACAACAAATAATAATGTTTAAAATAAGTAATACTGATTTTATTTAGTTTTGTATTTATATTTTTACCTCATTACTAAAATTAAAGACTACAGTGTTAAAATTTTTGTTTTATACTTTATGTAAGAAATCGAATGCCTTTTTATAAATAAAAATCACTTAAAAAAATGTTCTTTTATTTTAATTTGCTTCTTATCTCTATCACAAAGGAATAATTTTGGAAACACGAAGTGGCGTATCTGACTTTGAACATAAGTAATAATCTATGCAAATATTACATAATATGTCAAAATACATTAAAACTAAAAAAATGTATATGTTTAATTTAATACTAAATGAAATAATATAGTTTTAAAAACGAACGTCTCTTTCGTTTTTACGCCGCTCTCTTGTAAAATTATTAAAATGCTAGTTACGGTAGTTCGTGTTTTTAGGGACAAATTGTGTGTATAGTTTTAAAGCTTCGTTTTTTTATTTACACTTGTTAAATAAATGCTGTAATTATGTATTATTTAAATATTTGTGATTTAAGGCAAAAACATGTTTACAAATTTTAATTAGCCGTATTTTCCATGCTCATACGTGTGTGAATAATGGAACAATGTGGGCGTTTACTAGCCACATGACGTCATGCGCAGAGTCGAACGAAAATGAGACCTCTTAGTATCATATCTTATAAGTTTATTGTATCATG